CAAAAGTATTAAATCTCTAAAGTCAATTATAGTCGGAAATATTATTACAAGTTTATAATTCAAGTATCGAGCTAATTGTTACATGATGACACAGAGAGAATATGAATGAAAATGGAATGAATCCAGAGGTAAGCCAATTGTTGCATGATGGCCGAGAAAGAATGCAAGAAAATGGAATGGATTCCTAGCCAATGGCGCGGCTTACCGTTTCTCATGTATTTTCAGAATTTTTTGATGGAAATCAATATAGGAGTTTTATTTGCACATTAGCTCTCCAATGAGAAGCATTAGGTTGTGGAACTTATAACCGAAAAAGATTCAAACCTACATATAAACAATCCAATGCATAGAATTGTACATAACAGGAATCTCAGAGTTCCGGATCTAGCGTGAAATAGTTTAGCATCGCATCAAAATTTAATCCCAGAACTCAAATGAATACAACGGACAAATTACAAATTAAATGACTTAAAATGGAAAACTCCAAATGTCAAAGAAAATAATTAATTCCTAGATTCATTCCCAAAAAAAAAAAAAAAGAAAAAACTGCTATGTAACTATGTAAGACTTTTAAGAACCTTGTTTCATAAAGTCCAGATTAATAGATGATGTTGAAATTATCCGATGCCCAAAAATAATACATCAAAACCTATACGTTTAATGATCCAAACATTGAACTACACATGAGAAATAAAGAATGTATCCTTATATAACTATTTCCCCCTATCAATTTGTCTTCCAATATAAGAAGTTACTACCTATCGTACACAATGCAAATCCAAGATTACCCCTTCAAATGAGACGAAATCTGTGGATAAGTTGCAAAACAACTAAGACGAAATGTTTCTTTTGATTGAAGAAGGGATACATACATTCATATGATAGATGCATGAATTAGATTCACACAATAAATATATATATAAGAGAGAGAGAGAGAGAGAGAGTTAATTGATCAACCTGAATCTTCCCTTACTTCACTGGGGTTGTTTCCAAATGCATGAATTTAGGGTTTCGGTCTTCATATTCATTCTGCCATGAAGATGAAATGAAATGACAGAAACAAATGGAAGAAAATGGGGATATCTTTTCTTCGATTAATAAGCTTTCTATAGATGAAGACTACAAGATCAAGAGAACTTCTTTGCTGCAGGGAGAGGGAGACTAAGATCTAACTAAGAAAACCCTTTAAATCATCTTGCATCCGTAACGCTCCCCATATATTTTCCAGAGGCAAAGAAATTTCAAGTCAGATTCCCCTTGTTTTCCGTAACGCTCACTGCATTAATAGAAGAACATTAATGCCCCTTGTTTGAACGTGCAACAGCTATTCACTGTGAAAGATGCCAAGCTAAAGCATGACAATTCAAGCACGGCTCGTCAAATAAACATTTCTAAAAATTAAATTTAAGTTCAAATCAATTACTTTGGTCCAACAAACTACCATTTAATCAAGAACAACTTAATTAAGAGTGGAGATACACTCGAGAACAACTTGAATAAATATGACAATAACTATTTGCTTGCCCCGGAAAGAGAAAAATGGAACAAGGCCAAAATTATTATTGATCCCCAGTTAAAAATCATTGATACCTTTTAATCTGGCACATAACCATTCATTCATGAACATAGATGTAATGTAACATCAGTAGTTCAAGAATGGGATATCGATACTCAAAGATCAAGATTTCATTTTGAAATGGTCGAAACGTTTCCGTTTCCAAGGAGGCCGAAACGAAATAGTAATGGAATCAAAATTCTAATACTTTGAGGTGTTTTACAACGTTTCAAAATGTTTTGTTATATTTCAATGTATTTGCACAATTGTTTCGAAATGTTTCAAAGTATTTCAAGATATTTTGATATATTTCAAACAATGTTTTATAAAAATAATTTTAAAATTTTTTTTTTTTCATTCTTTTTTCAAAACGAGGTCGAAACGTTTTCAAAACATATCGAAACATTTTTGTTCCCTAAGTGACCAGAACAATACACCAAAACAAAATTTTGATCCTTGTCGATTCTATCCCTCCATATAGTTTTACGTCCACATGAAAGAAAGGGTAGTTGGAAATTGTTTCTCACTTAGATGACCATCACCCACACCCCCAAAAAAGGGCAAGCAAATCAAATAAATTATCCCCTTATCTAGCTTCTTTCCAAACCAAAATAAATGACAAGAGTTGAACCAACCATCAAATCACACTTTCTTTTAAGAAATATTGAGTTTGGTTGAGTTGAGAATGTATACTTACTATGATAAATCCAGTGTTCGCGTCATTTAGAAAACTTAGGTAGAATGAGATTTTTCAACTGTATAGCTTTAATAAGTCATTGTGTTTAAATCATTATTGTATTTTCTAATGATGGGGGTTGTCAAGGTGATTGTCAGCTAAGTGAAAAGAATCTCCAACCAACCTCTCATTCCGTATTAAAGTGAACCTAAATACAAATTAAACTACTTAATCTCTACATGTTTGTGCATGAACATTTAGACATTCGAATAAGGAATAATAATTCTTTCCGAATCTTTAAGCCGGGGATGCATAAATTTTTTTAAGCGCATTAATTTCATATCTTCAGAGCATAATCTCCTTTTTAACAGTAAGCTTGTTTTTTCAAATGTTCATTTAACAAGCCATGCTTGAATTGCTCATACATCAGTTTAGCATAATTCTATGCGAATGGTTGGTCCACGCTAGACCAAGCTATACGAAACCTTGCCTTCTGTGAACCCAACAAGAATAGGTAATTACTGCAACTTCCTTTACCTATGAAGGGAAGTTTAGCATTCCAAGACCATAAAATGACGTCATAATTTTCTTAACTAGATCTTGAATGTTTTTCAACCAAATAAATACATCAATTTGTAGATGGCAACCTTATTCAATGTATATTCTTTAATTTCATCACATTATTCTATGTTATTTACGAGATGAGATTTCTAAACTGAAGTCATAAATACATACCAATCCTTATTCTATCACATCAAAAGCAATCAAGATTCAAGTTAATAAAGTTGTATACATAAAGAGTGCATATGAGAGCTCTTGAAGGGGAAGGACCACTTCGTGTTTAAATTGAAAAGTTTGATTTTTTTTTCCTTTTCTTAAAACGGGTGTCTTCCTCATTAAATTCTTGGGAAATTTTCTTGAGGACATGTCTTTATACCTCACAAGTACCAAGTTGACACCCCTTTTTTGGCACCATGTAGAGGAATTTATTCAAAAAAAAGATGCCTATGGAATTATATGCCCATAATTATATGCCCACAATTATAATTATGAAATGTGTCCAAGAGATTAATTTCCTCTTTTCCATGTTTCCTATACTTCACAACCTTGTTAAGAACATTAACTCTCTGAAGACAAACTGATCTTCTGTCAGATATTTTAAAACTATGATCAAGTCATATTAAGGGCTTTCCACTATACTACTCAAATACCACGACTAAAAAGCATCCAATAACATTAGAGCCAGTCATATTCTGATAGCTAAGCACATAAAAGTAATTACTCATTCAAATGAAAACCTAACCATAATTTAACAGTGTATACTTCGTGCCAACATTCATCTGAACTTCTTCACCCGCTGATGCCTTGATAAATATAAGGTAAAACTTTCTAAACAAGAAACCCATCATGGTTACCTAGCTGCGCCCATCACATTAATTGAACCAATGAGCCAAATAGTCCAACAATTATTCTGTTGCTGACTAGTATAGCAGTTCTTTCCCAAGCTACTTTAAGCAAAATTTGTTTTTGATGTCCTCTACTCCTTTCGTTGGTGTAATAATCCTCGAAATTAAATTCACCAAACTCCATTATTCACATTCCTATGCATGCACAGACAAAGGATTTCACTTTTAATAAAACGCTAACTAATACGACCAAAACTGCTGAAATTGAATTAAAGCGCGAAAAAATCGTACCTCGGACCGGGTGAGTCCTCGTTCCCCTCAGCTTCACCGTCACTATAAGGCAAAGCATTGATATCCAATAAACGAACACGTCCAGACTTTCGCTTCGTTTTCCATCCCAATGGCCACCGATTACTCTGCACATTATTGCTCACACACTCCCTACACATCCACTCGTTGATAATCTCCGCCTGTTCACCCCGCATTCCAGCGCAAGCGAGGTGGAAACCCCGTTCGCAACCGTCGCAAACTACTACCTGTCCCGGAACCTCCTTAAAATGGCAAGAACTGCACGATGTACTGAACGAGATATCCGGTAGCTCCGCCGCAACTCCGGCCGGAGGAGTAAGTTCGCCGTGGAAGGTCCGCACGACGGAGATTGCATCACGAGACAAGGACTCGAATGAGGACGAAGAAGGGACTTCATTGAGATCGATACCGAGAATGGATACAGTCGGTTCGGAGTTTCCCTGAGTCGAATCGGTGAGTTCCATCATCCGAGTCGAGCTCTCCAGACCTTTCGTGACATATTGCGGTTCAAAGATTCGATCTTCTCGGAATGTGGAGGCTATGGCGGATCGAGAGATTGAGATTTGAGAGATGAAAATAAGCTTTGGTTTTCGGTTTTGTTTCGAGAAACCGACTGTGAGAGAGAGAGAGAGAGAGAGAGTAGGGTGAATGGGGACTCAAAGGACGCTGTGAACAGTGGATTATAAAAGGAGTGGATTAGGGCAACTCGCAGTGGAGAGGTTGTGATTGTACTCGCGGTTTATGAGTTACACCTGTGCAATGTGGACAATGCACTCCAGGGCTGGAGTTTGGTTTGGGACCCATTTAATTGGGGATTTGTTTCCTCCTATGAATGCTGATGCTTCCTTTCATGACTAGTTCTCTGATGACTATGATATATGGTTTATATGTCTTTTATAATTTTTTGAGAAAATTTCAATAACAAATCTTTTAATTTATTATATTTTTAAGAACATCTTCTTTATTATTCAAAATATCATTGACACCCTTTCTAATTTATATTTAAACATCATTGACATCCTCCGCCATTAAACCACCATTTCTAAAAAAATCAAATCATCCAAAATATCAAAATTACTCCTATATAAACCCTAAATAATTTTTCTACGTAAAATTCTAGTTAATTAAAATTTGATTCGAACTGATTAAATTTTATTTTTTTACGTATTAAAATTCGAGCCAATTTTGAGCTTTACCTGAGTGTTGATTAAAATTTATTTCAAGTCAATTAAAATTTATATTTTTTCTTAATAAAATTCGATTCAAATTTATTAAAATTCAATTTTTACGTATTAAAATTTAAATCAATTAAAATTTATATTTTGTATGTATCAAAATTCAGACCGATTAAAATTCAAAGTGAGTTGATTAAAATTCAGCTCGAATAGAATTTTAATCGGTTTAAATTTTAATAAGTAAAAAAATAATTTTTAATCGCTTTAAATTTTAATTAACTCGAATTGAGTTTTATTGGCCCGAATTTTAATACGTAAAAAAATTTTAAAAATAAAGAGGGTCTCATTTAAAATATGTCTATCTAGGGAGGATGTGGATAAAGTTTTTTCTAAAATATATAATGATCAATTTAATAAAATTACATTCTAATTAATATTTTTAATCTAATAGAATGTGTCACAGAAAATATAGGAGGCGTCCTCAAAAAAATATGATAAATTAGAGGAGTGTAGCTGAAATTTTCTTAATGTTTTTTTTGGGGGAAAGGCTACGGTATGGTATGGTTCTGGATCGAAAATTGTAACTTAACTTTTTTTAGGAAGAAATATTATAAGGATCTAATTTAAAATTTTAATGGTGTAATTTTAATGAAACAATTAGATTAGTTGTGTGTTCTAATATTAGATGGAGCCAATTATTGATCTAATGATTATATTGAATCTCTATATTAAGTTTCCAAATTAGGTTCAAATATCATTTTTCTTTTTAAAGTATAAATTACAACTTTAAAGAGTATAATTAATCATTGAAAATTGGAATCGATACCAATATTTTCATGATCGATCATGAGCTTCCCTTAAGCAGCTGTAACTTCTCGTTTCAAAGTTATAATTTTATCTATAAAAACTGGTAATCAACCATACAATACCAGAAAAATAAAAATCGATACCGTAGAATTTCCCTTTTTATGTGTGTGTTTTTTTGTCCATACGATGACACTATCAATAATTCTATGTTTGAATCGAAAATATTAATAATAAATATTATTATTGTTATTATTATTGTGTGTTTGAAAATATTCTATAGTATCAAAAATGAAGTATTGATTTTATATTTTAAATAATAAATTTTTTTAATTACAAAATTTAAAATTAGAGTAGACATAAAGAAAAATGTAGAGGAGATAGATGTGTTAGGGGTAGTAAGGTTGTCTGGGATTAAGAAAATTTGTATAATATATGGGTTCGTGCAGAGAACATAATATTTTTTTGTAAAAAAAAGTAATTGTAATAAATTTTGTAACGTTAGATGAAATAAAAATGATACATAACCAAAATAGAATCCAAAAATTATAATTCAAATACATATCATCCTTTTGATGAATGAGTTGATGAGACTCCCTCATCCAATGGATGATTTGTATTTGAATTTTATTTTTCTTAAATTTTATTTAAATTGTATAATATTAGATAAAGATTGAATTAATCGCCACTATTGTTTTGTTTTTCAAGTGTGTAATTCAAACTATTAGTTGTGGTATTAGATAGATGTATAAGTAATTTGTTATGATTTTTTTACCAATCAAAAACTTTTGTATATATGCGTTTTTCTTATTTTAGTGAATAATTCGAATAACAATCATGATCATCTACAAATACAACTATAAAGAGACAGCCAATAATACCAAAGTATAAGGGCATCCGTTTGCATATACTCTCTAGAAGAGAGGGAGATGGTGTTTGAAATTGAGTTGGGTAGCAGGTAGGGGGTTTTGGGTAGCGTGCAAAATTCAATACGATTTGGGCAGAATTGTATTTTTTGTTGCGATGAATTATGTATTATTTGATGAAATTGAAAGTAATTTGGACCATTTGAAAAAAAATTAGATAAAATCTGAGTCATTATCTTTGGTAGATGGCCAGCCACATGAGTTATGATATTTTATCAAAAGATTGTAATTACTCTTTTCATGAATAGAATGGAAATTTTGTTTGTGAAAAAAAAAAAAAAAAATTTGTTCCATTCAATGATTTTGCATAGTTGTAACTTAAACAAACTATTATTCACCGTAAATTTTTAATTTATTTTGATCTAAAAAACGAAATGTCTAGGCTTTAAAAGTAGTTTTCATTTATAGTAGGACATAATCTCGTGGTCATCTATAATTAATGTGTATAGTAAGACATAATCATAAGATAATCAGTAGTTACATACGATATTATAAGAATCAGAGTGTTGGTCCTTGTGCGGTGAACCTAGTGTGCTCTGTAGGTTCAATATGGTTGTACTTTTATGCTTCCTTTTTCACATATGATGTCAATTGTATGAGAAATTTTTTTTTAAACCCAATACTTATAGGGCAATGTGGATTCTTTGTGCTCAATTTTTGTAGAGAAACAAATAAAGTACATCTTATTTCCTTTCAGCAAGCAAATAAATTGTCATGGGTCGGGATTGACCGACTCAATACACTCTAATGCTTAAGTCAATGAGGGTCTTAAGATCAAGCAAAAAAATTATCGAAAAAGGAGTGCGTACCTTAAAACTCAAACTTATTCGATTTTTATTATATGATTGCACCCTCGACCTAATTGGATTTAGAATCCATGTAAGAGTGAGGTGACACACCATACCTATCCAGATTTCATACCAGTCTAATTCCACTTCCATTCTTAATAGTTTGTTTTTATAGGTCATATATTTTTAATGTGCATCTTATCAATGATAGAATCTTGTCCATTCAATCGTCTTGAGTGTCTAGTGATAACCTAACTATTTATTTTGTTCGAATAACTCTTATTGAATTTTTAGTGACACATATTTCTTTGTTTGGGAATGCTTTTAACTAAACAAACCACTTTCAATTATTATATTTTATAGTCTGGCTTCAGTTTAATCTGTTCGGCCTAAAGTTCAAATTTGAGCGATTAAGTTACAATTTTGTTCGATTGAGCCTTTATCTATTCGATCATAGTAGAATCAATCTAAATGATTCTTTTAAGTATATGTTAGTTGCCAGGTGCTGAAGTATAGTAATCAAATCATGATCAGAGATAGAAGGCGTGTTTAGCTCTGTTCCAAAAAAGTATTTTTTGTTTTCAAAATTTCAAAAACATCAAAAATTTGTTTGCTTAGCATTTTTGTTCTAAAAAATTTGAAAAAAAAAAAGATGAAATTTGGAGCAAAAAAATAGAAAACAAGTCAGTCATGTTTTTTGAGTTTTCAGGATAAAATAGAAAATAAGGGAAACAACCCCTCATCTTTAATGAAGATCACCCATTAAACTTCCTAATCAGCAAAATGTATTTTTTTTCGTTGAAGTATAAAAATCCTTCACTTTATGTTTTCTCCATATCCTCTGTCTCTGCAACGATCTGGATTTAAGACACTGTGCAACAATCTGGATTCAACGGCGCTACGCAACGATTTGGGTTCCATCTCATTTCCAGTGTCTTTTTTTTTCTTTGCATTTGCGTCTCTTCTCTCTCTCTGTTGCAACAACTTAAGTTTAGATCTACATAGATCAGAAGCACATATTGTGTAGATCTGAATCTATGTCTGGGTTCAAGACACACGCACACATTTGTGTGTGCGTGTGTTTATGTTTGTGTGGGCATGTATGTGTGGGTTTTGCGAAGACAAAGAGAGGGGAAAGAAAAATATTGATAAAAATTGTGAGTTTTATGGGTTATTGTGCAAGCATATTTTATAATTTTTTATTCTTAAAAAATATTTTTAAAAATATATAACCAAATATGCTTTGTAATCTAAAAATTTTTAAAAACACTTTCGTAAAATTCTTTTGAAAAATTATTTTCAAATATTATTTTTTGAAATACAAATCAAACAGATGGAGAGATTCTGAACTGAACTCCTTCACATTCCATTAAGGAATGAGCTACTCATATGATCAATTACGAATGGAAACTAAATCGATATATTTTTATTATCGTTACGGCACAACTTAAATTCAATAAGACGCCATCATGGGCCCAATCACACAAATCATCTATCTAATATTGGGGTCAATGAATTAAATTCTTAACTTGTAAAAATACAATAACGATCAAGATTAATTCAATATTTATCTATTTTGTTCAAATGGTATAAAATTTATTTCAAATTTTTTTTTTTACCCAAAAATATCAACTTCTCTACACAATTCCAATATCTAACAACTCAATCAATACACTCTCTAATGTTAACACAATTTCATCAATCCACATCTATCTCTCTCTTAATTTTAATTTTAAATTACGTAATTAAAAAAATTAAAATATTATTTAAA